AAAAATGAGTTTGATTGAGTTTATGATCGTAATAATATTCAATTTCTGGATTTTTGCTTCCTCCATCAGCAAAGATAAAATGATAATCCCACATTTGGTCAAAATTGAGCTCAACTGAAGGTACAGTATTCTCATTAGAAGAACAATTTTTATAAGTAGTTTTTTGGCAACTACGAGCTTCTGATCTTAAATGGTATCGCATCAAGGTGTAATTACTAGCACCTGAAGCACATCCTCGTCCAGTTTCATCAAACAATGAAACAAAATGATCGATGAAATATCGAGTATGAACCAAGCTCTTGTTGGAAGCTTCTTTTGTTATTAACAGTAATATTTTTTCGGGTTTATAAAATGTTAAGCAAATAAAAATCGCTCCAGTAATTTGATTAGTTTGAAACTCTGGTCGATTATAACGAATCTCAATTGCACTTGAAATAAGTTCCCTTCCTTTATCAAGACACAATCTTATTATTGATATCTCTTGAGTAACATTCGCGGCCTTTTCGTTCCAAATACTTCGCTTTATAAGAAGGTACAATTTATCGTCGAAATGAATATAATCCATCATTTTCCATTCCTTAATGAACTTCCAATCATCATCTCTAAGCCTAGATAAGGATCGAAGCACAGAAACTTTTGCATTTTTTTCATCGAAATATAACAATTCAATATAATTCAATTTAGGAACCGGTCCTGTTAAATTTGGATTGAATATTGTTGGAACATGAAGAGCTTCATTATCACCGAAAGCTATTATTGAACCACTCAGTTTACCAGAATATTCCATATCTTTGATAGACTTTTGGTCGATGAGAATTTGAGGTTTATTTTTATAGACGAACATCAATTGATTTTTGCTTAGGTTAACTACTTTCCAATTGAAGATGTTGGATAAATTAGCTACACTTCTTGGAATGTACATTCCCACTGTTTCACCAGCAACATGGAAATTATACCATGTTGTGAGTTCGACCATACTGCTTAAGGAAACACTATCTGGTGCTTTGTAGTAAGTAAATCGATTTTGTTTAAATCTTTTGAACGAATATGAATACTCGATCGATAAAACGAGTTGCATGAGCGTAAAAAGATCAGCGATGAGCATTGTCAGTTGTTGGTCGTTAAACTGAATATAAATAAAAGATAATAAAGTTTTAAGGATAAATGATTACATTGAGTGTCAACATATCCCAGGATTTCATAAACTGTTCTTAAAGCTTCATACTTTATTGTCTACTAATTGTTAGTTTTTTTAACTATTTACTTTATAAACTAAGTACTGTTACTTGAATGATTCCCATTGGAAGTCAAGGGAAAGGCTGGCAGCAGCGGCCAAGGCAAATAAAGCAAGGAATAAAGCCGCTCGAATCATCTTGATTGGTAGTTGTTGGGTGAACACGATGGTCACGTGTTCCTTTTACTAACAATATTCACTCTATTTCAAAAGTTTGGTGTGCAAATTCATTTTGAATTTTCTTGTTTAAGATTTAAGTTAATTCAAATATTTTTACAAAATAGATAGATTAAATGAGGGCAAATCATATGCTGAATCTTATTTTTTAAAAAATAAATTCACAACAATTAAAATCGATTGCGAAAATTTTAACATTGAAATGGATTTTTCAAAAGTTTGGTCCATGTTCGATTATCTAATTAATGATTGAGAGAAATTGGTTGAAATTTTTATAGAATCTTTCTCGAAGCTTCACAATCCTTTCTACTTCATGTTTGAACTATTAAATTGTGCAATGTGAAATGTGAGAAAATGATTTATTAAATTTAAAAGAATTGCAGACTCCAGAAAAATTGTGCGGAGAGTTTCAAGATTCATCGCAGGCCACATTCACCTGAAAGTGCGAGAACAGGAAATCGAACGTGCCATTCTGGTGCAAAAGATGTTACGAATAAACAACAATTTATAACACGCATTTTCGGATTAACATGAAATTTAAATTATTACCGTTGACTGCTCTTTCATTATGAACCTTGATCGTGTCAAGTTTCTGGGCAAAAATACTTCGACTGTAGGTTTATTCAACAGCCGATGAACAAGATTTTCATATTTAGTCTTTTGAACAATGAAACATGAATAATAGTCACAAATCGCTTTTTTGCTTACTTAATATTTCCACAGCAAAATATCAATTAAACACATAGTTATGTGATTGATTATTTTAAATTGATCCTACTGAACAAATCAAAATAAAATAAAATTCTTAAGATTAAAATTAAGATACAATTTTGTGCTTTTTGCTTGTAATGCACTCTTTCATGTTGTTTGGTACTTCAAGAGTCTTCATGAGTTATCAATGTTCAAATATTAACACTCGAAATGAATGCTTCAATTTAGGTATTTAATGTCAGCAGTATATCACTTAATGATTATTTTTACCGCGATAAATACAATTGTTGCAATACAGATGGCATTGTGCTCCATGATTTGTTCAGTTTACTCGATGGTCTAGTTTGAATGGTTGAGTCGTTTATTGTGTTCATGTGAGAAGGTAATATTTGTGCTTGAACGCGTGTTATAGCGCTTGTGGTTTTAAAAAATCCTCTTTTCTTTCTCGAATAAGAAAATTTTCTTACATGCTTATTTGAATCATATTTATATATGCTTTTGAAATTTTTCAACTGTTCCTCATTCCGCCTTATATAGCTTATCAATAAGAATGAAATTAAGAGTAAACCTAAAAATAATAAAATGATTATTGGTAAATAATCAACTTCGGGCGCAACAATATCAACCTTCTCAGTTGATAGAACACTTAAGCTGGTAGTATCAGCATATCTATCATTTCGTAGACTAACACTGATCCTGAATTTACCCGATTCAGATAAGCTCATAAAGCAATTGATGATTGATGTCTTTCTTGTTATGTTGGTGCAATGATTAAATTGACCAGCTTTGATATCTAAGTACTCCTGAGAGGCATTAAATTCCAGTGGTTTATCGAGTTCAATTGTTAGCCTTGTCGGTAAAGCAGATTTGAGCATTAAAGGTGAAATTCGGACGACTCTAAAGCAGTAATCTACAGTTCGTGTAGCCCTGTCTATATCCAATGTACACCTTGAACCGGACCAAATACAGTCCATACTTAAACCATACATCAAACAATGAATGCAACTTTTATAATAGGGACAATAATCGTACTCTTTAAAAATTATTTGATTGGTATCTTTAGTAACTCGAAAATATCCTAATGGCGCGTGATTGAAATAATGATGAAGTTGAAGATTGTCCATAGATGATCTATCATCTTTATAACATGTTAAGTATGTATTCTTGGATTGAGAACAATAGCGACTTTCATTGTGACGTAAACTGTTATATATTAAATGTAAACGATTTAAAGGATATCCAGTAAAGAAAGCTTCAAGATTTTGAGTCGAACTATCGTTATTGAAGTTTTTGTAAATTTTAATACAAATCTGTATAAAACCATAACCACTTCTTCCATGGCAAAAATGAGTTTCATTGATACTATCATTGTTGTAACTGAACTGAAGTGGTTCATTATGACTTTTTCCATCAGCAAAGATAAAATGATAATCCCACATTTGGTCAAAATTGAGCTCAACTGAAGGTACAGTATTCTCATTAGAAGAACAATTTTTATAAGTAGTTTTTTGACAACTACGAGCTTCTGATCTTAAATGGTATCGCATTAAGGTGTAATTATTAGCACCTGAAGCACATCCTTGTCCAGTCTCATCAAACAATGAAACAAAATCATCGATGAAATATCGAGTATGAACCAAGCTCTTGTTGGAAGCTTCTTTTGTTATTAACAGTAATATTTTTTCGGGTTTATAAAATGTTAAGCAAATAAAAATCGCTCCAGTAATTTGATTAGTTTGAAATTCTGGTCGATTATAACGAATCTCAATTGCAGTTGAAATAAGTTCACTTCCTTTGTCAAGACACAATCGTATTATTGATATCTCTTGAGTAACATTTGCGGTATTTTCATTCCAAATACTTCGCTTTATTAGAAGGTACAATTTATCGTCGAAATGAATATAATCCATCATTTTCCATTCCTTAATGAACTTCCAATCATCATCTTTAAGCCTAGATAAGGATCGAAGCACTTCAACTAATTTATTTTGAGCATTAAAATACAACAATTCAATATAATTCCATTTAGGGAATGGTTCAGTTAAATTTGGATTGAATATTGTTGGTACATGAAGAGCTTCATCATCACCAAAAGCTATTATTGAACCACTCAATTCACCAGAATATGTCATATTTTCGATAGTCTTTTGGTTGATGAGAATTTGAGGTTTATTTTTATAGACGAACATCAATTGATTTTTTCTTAGGTTAACTACTTTCCAATTGACGATGTCGGACACATTAACTACACTTGTAGGAATGTCAATTGTTATGGTTTTACCAGCAACATAAATACCATACGATGTCGTGTGATTGTCAGGATCCGTCAAGAAAACACTATCTGGTGCTTTGTAATAAGTGAATTGATTTTGTTTGAATCTTGTGAACGAATATGAATACTCAATCGATAAAACAAGTTGCATGATCGAAATAAGATTTGGAATAAGCATTGTAAGCTGTTGGTTGCTGATAGAATTAAAATAAAAGATAATAAAGTTTAAAGACAAATGATTACATTGAGTGTAAACACATCCCAGGATTTCATAAACTGTGCTTAAAGCTTCATCATTAATTGGTATGTGTTAGTGTTGGTTGATCTAGCGATATCAGTGCCGAGCTCAATATCAATAACAATGTGATACTTTGTTGTTTATGGTCATCAAAAATAGTGATATTAAATCAATGAATCCATTGATTATCATTCTATTTCCAAAAGTTAGACAGTCAATAATTGAAAAGCATCATGAGCTATTGCAACCGAAAAAAATGGTGAGCAAAATCAGTTAGATTTTGTTAGACAATTGGCAAAACTTTCGATCTCAATTTTCACTGCGATTCACGATTTACAAGAGTGTTGAATAAGTTTTTCCAAAAACAGTTGGTTAGACAATCTCTACTCTAATTTAATCAATCAATAAGTGCAGGTTAATACAAAAGTTATTGACAATTTAAACAATTGGATAAGAAGCTGAATCAGCAATACCGCACATGTTGTTACCTCTGTACAATCGGAAGTAACCTGATTCACCGAAATCTTTACCCCAACTGTTCTTGACAATCCAATATGGAGTACCATCTTCAGTACCGTATCCAACAACAGCTACACCATGGTCAAGATCTTGAGGGTCGCTTGAGCACTCATCGGTATTTAAAATACCAGATCTAAAGGAAGAAAATGATAAACAAATAAAAAAAATTGCTTTTTCATTGGTTGAAAAGATTAACTTACTCATAATCTTGGACTGGTCCAGCATCAATGGCAACTGAAACAACACGTTCAGCAACTGCAGATAAAAGGGATTTCTCATCAGCTTCTGGAACATCAACAAAAGATGAGATTGAAGCACCCTTGTTGGCTGCAGTGTATCGACATTTGTGGTAATCTTCTCCGTCTCCAGAAATGTATGGGTAAGATTTCTCAGTATCAACACCCTTGTTGGCTTTAACATATGAGAAAGCATCATCCATCAAACCACCACCGCATCCGTTATCACCGTATTTCCATGAGCAATCCATCAAGTTTTGCTCTGAAAGTTCAACAAGTTTACCGTTTTTTTGAGCGTTGGCTGATTCGATAGAAGCAATGGCAGAGAAAGCCCAGCATGAACCACATTGCTGTTGATCTTTGATTTCACTAACGATTCCCTTGGTTCGCCAATCAACTGAGGCTGGAGCTTTGACGGTGTAGTTTACGTTGTGAATAAGAGGAGCGGATCGACGAGCAGGCTTGTATCCAAGATATTTTGCTTTGAATTCCTCGGCGGTCTGCAACAAATTTAATGAGTTTAATTATTTTCTATTAAGTTATTTGATATTCATTGAAATTTCACAGTTTCCAACTCACCAAATCAGAGAACTTGTTGACTCCTAATCTGTAGGTAACTTCACCATTGGCTGCTCTTTCATTATGAGCCTTGATCTTTTCCAGTTTCTGGGCAAAAATATTTCGTCTGTTGGTTTCTTCTTCAGCCGAATCATAAGATTTGCCGTATTTAGTCTGTTGAACGATGAAACAAGAATAGTCGTCACTAATCGCACAATCGAATCGATTTGCCTAAACTAAACTTACCTTGAATGATTCCCATTGGGAGTCAAGGGAAAGGCTGGCAGCAGCGGCCAAGGCAAATAAAGCAATGAATATAGCAGCTCGAATCATTTTGATTGGTAGTTGTTGGGTTAACAATAATTAATTATTAAACTAATGATTTCTATTAACTTTTTCTTCTGCTTTTATATGCTGTTTAGGTTTTGATTGCACATTGAATGAAATAGTGATAAAAATTAACAACAATGACGTTAAATGTCACTTTGTTTTAAATTAACCGAATCAGCAAAAATCACGAGTTTTTATTAAACAATTGAGAAGATGGAACTTTGATTACAAAATTAATCGTAATTGTTTATTTGAATTGATAATTCCATTGTTTCACACATTATCTTACCAGAAATAATGAAAACAAATCAACTACAGTTATATAACTATCGATACAGATTTTATCGAAATTAACTGATTCAACTGAGATACGTACTTCACTCTTGATTCACATGGATTTTATTCATCACATATCAGTCAATGGTTAAACGCCAGTTTAATGGCAACTGAGTGTAACCTTTCAAACAATAGTAAATTTCTTCCGCTCACATGTAGTTTTATCATATGTTTAATCACTTAGTTAAGTTTAATGGCCAAATGTCAACTGTGTGTAACCTCCAAAACAATATTCAATTTTGTCCGCTCTTATTCTGGTTCGAATTATTCAATCAAACCGATAATTATAATAATAAGAGGCAATTACCTGCTTCACAAAACTGATTCTGCTTTGGCTCAATAATCATATTTATTTTGTGTTTAAATGATGAAATTTGAAAAAAACAAATTTTCCTCACATTGACATCTTTTTATGAAGAAAATTATTTCAGTTGAAAATATTCAATGAAAGTCTTGATTTGCCTGACAAGGAAACTAAATTAAATTCGAAAAGTAGAGGATCCAAGATTACTAGTGTCCTCTATCATTTGATTACCCAAATAACGTCCAAGTTCCATCTGGAAGCATTCATAAAATGATAATACGTTATCAATTGCTGAAAATGGCATAAAATATCAACGCCACTTGGTGATTCTTGATTCTTCAAAATATTGAGGTAAAAGCATATTTGGATTATCAGCAATTCTCTTGACAAAATATTCGACATTCTCAGAAATCTCATTGATCATCTCTTTATCAAACCCATTTTTAGCAAAATTTAACACAATTGTATATCTTTCTTGAACTTTCATAAACTGAACAATTAGAGCGTTCAAAACGTAAGCGGATCTATGAATGGCTTCTAAAAACTCTAAAGGTTCATCACAATCAAAGATTTGGCTAATCGTAATTGGTAAAATCTGATTGAATTCATTGTAAATGTCATCATTATCCCCCTTAAGCGATTCAGAAATTGTACGTAAAAGTTCGTGAAAGGAATAAAATCTGAATTCATGTTCCTTCATGATGTAGTTATGTGTTAAACGTAAAAGATCAACAAAAGTGATGTCGCCTGTCCACTGGATTCTGGAGTAATTTACAACAGCAAGATTCCCGACCAATGAAAGGGCCCAATGATGATTGACACTACGAGCTGCTTGGTGAAGGGTTATGTCAGTTGAGTCAGTGTATAAATGCAACAAGGCCACTAGCATGGTTTGCGTAAAGACAAAAAGAGTTGTTCTGTATTCCTTCAAAATTGTGTCGATTTTATGAGTAATTGCTAAATCAAACCAGAGATAATTAGCGTGTGTATCATCGCCAATACAAAGAAGTGAATCAATAAGCAAAGGAAGACGCGGGGCTTGAAATCCTTTAAGGCGTTGAAGCCAAAATTTCTGTGCTTTATCCATTAAAGCTTTATCCTGGAAAAATACACGATTTTCCCAGTTAATATAGTCTAAAAAGGCAATTTTCACTTCAGGTAAATTCATTGGTGAACCAGTTTTTATTGCATCAAACAATATTCCAAGTTCTTGGTATATTACTTGGTAGGATATTCCGTCCATGATTATATGGTTGGCGACCATAAGAATCAAACGATCACTTGGGAGTTGAATAAAGTTGAATTTAACCAAAGGTTGACCGTTGAAAACTTTGTCGAGCGAGAAGAGTAATCGCTTTCCATGAGCAACAGCTTCATCCAGTGATGAACAATTGGTAACTTGAATAGTGATTGGGACGAATGGAGCAGCTGATTGGCGAATCTTGTTTGCTTTAATTAAATTTAAAACAATGCGCAATGATTCGTGACGTTTTATAATATAATTTAGTGCTTCGTTAACTTGGGTCCAGTGTAGATCAGTTGGAACTTTGAAGTAGAATAATTCGTTAGTTACTCCTTTACCTTTAAATCCTAATTCAAATAAAGCGAGCCATGATTGAGCTGAGCTCAAAGCAACTTCTCTTGTAGTTTGCGATACAACAATGGGTTGAAGTTGACAGTGCGAAGAATCTTGTTCAATAACTTGACAAATTGCTCGGATTGTCGCCAGCGTTAAAATCATTCTTGGAGTAATTGGACAACTATATGGCGGTTCATTTAGTTCACCAGCTATGGCTGCTGCTAAGAGTGAATGTCCTCCAAGCTCGAAAAAATTGTCGTCAATGCCAATGGATTCACTGGGAATCGATAAAACTCGAGACCATACTTCAACCATATCGCGATGAAGTTTAGTAATTGGTTGACTAAACATTGAACTCATCAATGGTTCACAATCATTGTAAGTCAACAATTCATTCTTGTCAATTTTACCGTTAGAGTTCAGAGGGAACTGAGGAACCACAAAAATTTGTGGCAACATGAAGTATGGTAGATGAGCCCGTAGGTATTCATGAAGAGATGAGCCGAAATCTTTTCTCCAAGATGAAGTGTGTTGTGAATTGATTTCAATAAGCACCAAGTAAGCCACAATTCTAGGATCATTGACTCGATTCCTTTTAACCAAAACAATTGATTGTTTGACTCCTTGGAAGTTATTTAAAAGCTTTTCAATCTCTGCCAATTCAATGCGATAACCACGGACTTTAACTTGATCGTCAGCTCGACCAAAAAAATCAATCAATCCATCTTCCCGCCACCGAGCTAAATCACCTGATCGCAATAAGCGTGATCCTTCAACATGTGGGTTAAAAGAATCTGGTAAAAATTTCACTTTTGTTTGTTCGGGCAGTTTATGGTAACCTTGTGCAATCAATGGCGATGAATAATAAATTTCACCAATAACACCAATCGGACATGGACGACCAAAAGAATCACAAATGTACACTTTGACTCCAGGAACTGGTCTACCAACAGGAGGTTTAACAAAATCACCCCGTTCTAACAGTGAGTTGACTAAAACATAAGTCAACGGAGTCAGCTCAGTCATTCCAAGCACATTAAAAACTTCAATGTTTGATGAACTGGATACTTTTACCATGCCCAGTGGCTCACCGGTGATAACAAATCACTTTGTTGTCGACACCTGGTAAGAAGGGTAAATTAAATGTAAGAAAAAAGCAAGTAAGTAAGTAAGTAAAATACAAAACAACAGTCAATTTACCATAGTATACAATACATGGTGAGTACGTAAAATTTCTTCATGTGTAGATTCAGGTGTAATTGCAGCAGAAAAATCACAAAACCGACATATAACTTTATTTTCGGATCCCTCGAAAGACAAACCATCAGCAGCCAAAATATAACACAAACAATTTGCATTTTGATTCCAATTTCCATCCAAAAATGAGTAGATTCTTATTGTTGCCAATTCAATTGATAAAATACGACGTATGTATCTATCAGCAGAAACACTGGAGACAAGAGCATCAAAATTTTGATTATTTTGATCTTCCATATTTTCAATATAAATGGTAAGCAAAAATAGAAATAAAGCAAGATAGGATGTATTTAATGAATTAGAAATGTTATAGATGTACCACTTTCAAGACAAGTATTTTTTGTGAGTGTTCAAAGTATAAGTAAAGCTGTTTTAACGAAAATCAAACATTGACTTTAGACGTCATCAGTAATTAACATTATGCTTGAGATTGTGAATCTTGTTTCTTTATGGAAGACAAACGATCAGATAAAAATTGATACTAGTAATCAAATCTATAGAAAGAAATATAATGCTCAAGTAATTAAGGAGAATGGAAACTGTTTATTAGTTTTTGCATCTGGGAAAGTAATAGCAACAGGATTCAAAACAATTAAAAATGTAAAAGAAATGTTCTCACGGTACTTCAAGCAAATTAAATTAGAATTCATGAGAAACATAAATTTAACTATGAAAGCAAAGCTACCATTCAAAGTAAATAATCATAGATTGTTATCAGAAAATAAATGTTTTGAATATGAACCAGAAATCTATCCTGCCATTTATTGGAGAAATAATGGCATTTGTTTAATGTACTATGCTTCATCATCAGTAGTAATGACTGGTAATGTATCGATTGCAAAAATGGAAGAAATTTACAACACTTTTGTTGATATTGTGATAAAATATCAAAAGGCTTAACATAATCTAGATACTACTTTGATTGCAGCTGCGCTGTAGCTATTTGTCTAAGTGTTATAAAAAGTGTTAGACAGATCGTTTACAGTTCATTAAGTGAAACAACTTCATCAAACAAGTTTGTCTTTAATTAAATCTGGAGTGAATTGATTTAAAGTAACCTAATATGTCAGATCTTCAACAACAACAACAAACATCAACTCGTTGGATTTGGACAAAAGCGTTAGAGCTTACATTTTGTTCAAACATCCAAATTTTTGTTTCACATGGTTCGAATGGTCAGGTTTCTTGCTCACGGTGTAATATTGTTGAGATGAATGGTGCCCAGTCAACAAGGAATCGAATAGCTTTGAGTTTCTCAGAGCTCAAAAATTATTGTAACTTTCTGGAAGTTTTTAATGCTCAAACTAATCCAGTGTATACTTATTTTGGCTTAACAGTTACAAAAACTCCTGCTAATAATATCATTGCTTTCAAAGGTCATCAAAAATTTGAAGTTGATGAGATTTAGTATCTCGAATTTGTTGATATTTTGGGTGCTTACACCAAGTTTCTCGAAACACAGAGAATGGAAACATCTGAGAAATTACACTTTTGTTTATAACTGGCTGACATCTATATTTATCTACATCTTTCTAGTTTTACTGGTGCAACAGCAACTTGGCCTGATGTACAAGAGAATCGGGTCCAAGAGACTTTACGGAATCATCCAATGGATCTCTATGCGTCTTTTCTTGCTAAGATTAAAGGTCCATTGCAATTAGATGTTGCCGTTCCTGCAGACATGTTTCAAGAGCGAATTACAGCCAACAATATGCGTGCCTTGAGATTTAGGATTGAAAACAATCCTTATTTGGCAACTTTGGTCAAAGATACTAAAAAATTTCGCTAATGAAAACAATGATTTCATTTTCATGATCATTTCCCTATGTAGCCTTGTCTAAGAAATGAAAAGAATAATAAAAATAAAATAATAAAAATAATAAATAATAATAAAAGAATAAAAGAATAATAAAATTTACTAAACACAAAAATGTCTTTTTACAATGTTTATTTAAAGCATCCATTTACAATGATTGTTAGTGGACCAACAGGATGTGGTAAGACTTATTGGATCAGAAAACTAGTGAATCATGTGAATCAATATTGTAAGCCAGCTCCTACTAAGATCACCTATTTTTATGGCGAATATCAATCAATTTTCGAGACTTTCAATAATGTTGAGTTCATTAGAGGTCTTCCTGAGAATATTTTAGACAAATTTGATGGCACACATCCTGAATGGATTATTATTGATGATTTAATGATTGAGTCTGCTAGCTCAAAAGCGATTAGCGAGATGTTTACAAAAGGATCACATCATCGCAACTTATCAATAATCTTGATTGTACAAAATTTTTTCATGAAAGGTAATGAATCACGTAATATTACACTCAATGCACAATATCTAGTTTTATTCAAAAACCCACGTGATCAATCATTAGCAACAAATATTGCAAGACAAATGTTCCCATTGAAATTGAAAAAGTTTCAAGCAATTTACCAAGATGCAACTCGAGAGCCTTTTAGTTATCTTTTTATCGATCTTAAACCTGATACTCTTCAAGAATTAAGGCTAATGAAAAATGTACTTGGTGAGACTAATTATGCTGTATCATATTTACTGTAATTGTATAAGAATTTCAAAATAAATAATAATTAACCATGACTTTAAAAGGATGTCTGTTATGTTTGCCTTCATTAGAAGAATTGGCTAAAGCTAAGACTTCAATTACGAAGAAAAAGATTCTTAAACATGCTTCTCCAAAGATCTATTCTGTGATAAGTGAGATAATTAGACAAGTATTAAAAGGAACAATAAAAATTCCTGGAAAAGTGAAAAAGAAACTTAAACCATATAAGAAAACTTTGAGAAAAATAGCATCAACAAAGTTGCACAGTTTGAAAAGAAATTTGTTTAACCAACGAGGAGGAGGTTTTTTGACAAGCTTATTGATGTCAGTAATCACAATCCTAGGTAGGATTGCAGCGAACAAAATTTTAGAATGAACACAGTTACTCGTATGGCTTTGATCCCTGAAGATCAATTACAAAAAATTTATCATAAAAATACAAATTCATTCGAAACTTTGGTGAACTCTAACATTCCGAAGTTAAAGTAAACTTACTCACTAAAATGCTAACAAAATATGACAAATTTTCAAATAAAAGTACACCAAATATTCAATATTTGCAGACTGATCTTCCCTCTTTACAATACTTTCCAAGTGATGGACCCTCAACAATTTCTGAAGCTTCTTTCAAAAACTCAAGATTTAGTAATTATTATCCTCCTGAATTTAATCAACCTGAAATACACGATGAAGCAAGACAGCCTATTTCACTACCTATTACGTCAACACCTAAGAAAGAATCGAAAGTTAGATTTGCAAAATATGAAGAACCAATAACACGAGATAAAACTTTGGAAATGACTCTCAGAAACATTCCAAAATTAGTTGATGAACAAGGAAACATTTTGGATAATATTGGGAATCCAATAGCTAACAGTAATATTCATGATATAGTGCAATATATGAGAATCAAACATCCTTCACCCAGAAAGCAGAAAATGCCAATAAAAGGTCTTGGAAGGGTCATTAAAGTTATAAGAAAGAATCCTTCAATTCAACATTATGTAGCAAACAAACACGTAAAAGATTTAATGCAAAGAGCTGATACTGCAGCTGATTTGACATGGACAAATCTGAAACGTCTAGGCTTTTGAAAAAGATATACTATGATCCAACATCTGGTGGCTCATTTGGAGGTTTAAAGCGATTGTTTGATGTAGCAAGAATTGAATTACCTGATGCAACACTAAATAAAACTGCAGATTGGTTACAAAAACAAGAAACTTATAATTTATATAAACAGGTCAAAAGAAAGTTTCTAAGAGTACCTATTCTTGTTAACCACATCGATGAGCAATGGCAAGCTGATCTACTTGACATGTCATGGATTTCTAAAGAAAATTCAAATGTTAAATATTTACTAACATGCATTGATACATTTAGTAGATATGCTTGGGTGAAACCTCTGAAAAACAAGAGCGCAGCAGCAATCATTGAAGCATTTTCAAACATATTCGAAGAAAGGAAACCACTAAAATTGCAAACAGACCAAGGCAAAGAATTTATTAATACATCATTTCAACATTTATTATCATCATTAAATATAAAGTATTTCACATCAACAGATGACATTATTAAATGTGCGATAGTGGAAAGATTCAACAGAACCTTGCGAACAAGAATACACAGATACTTACATTCAGTTAACAGTTTGCATTACTTGACTGCTTTAGTTGATATTGTATCAGGTTACAACAACTCTTTCCATAGGACAATTCAAATGCCACCATCAAAGGTTAACAAAAATAATGAAAAACAAGTCTTGTTAAATATTAGAAAAAGTCACAGAAAAGCAACACATTTTCCAAAACCATTCAAAAAAGATCAATTTGTTAGAATAACAAGAGCAAAGGGAGCATTTGAAAAAGGATCAACTAGCAACTTTACTGAAGAAATATTCAAAATCTCTAAATCGAAAAAGACACCTCAAGGCTATATCTATCATTTGGTAGATTGGAATGACGAACCAATTACTTCAATATTTTATCATTACGAGCTACAACCGGTAGAAGCACAGAATCTGTATAAGATTGAGAAAGTATTAAAAAGTCGTAAAAATAGCAAAACAGGAAAAACTGAATATTTTGTTAAATGGTTAGGTTATCCTAATACATTCAATAGTTGGGTTGAAGATGTTCAGCAACAATGAATTCACTGTTGACGTGATTTCCAATGCTTCTATGGATATTTTTCCTAAAAACAAAATTTCTCATTTTACAAATAGACTAAGAGACTCTCTTGAATTAG